TACAGAAGGCTGAGCGGACGTGGCAATGCCACGTCCGTTTGATTCTTGATTCTGAGAAAGGGCGTAACTAATTCAAAGGCCCTCAAGTTTATAGTTTAAAATTTTAATTGTATCTAGAGTCATACTAATATGTATTAATTTTTAAATATGATATACAAAATTTATATTTAGGTGGATAAATATATGAAAAAAGGAATAATACAATTGCGGCCGAAGCCTGTCATGCCTACAGGAGGCTGAGGGGACGTGGCAATGCCACGTCCGTTTGATTCTTGATTCTGAGAAAGGGCGTAACTAATTCAAAAGCCCTCAAGTTTATAGTTCTATAACTTTTGAGTCTCTATATTTAAAAGACATCATTTAAGTCTTTAAAATCAAACAAGATTACTTTAATTTAGGGCATTAGGGTATAGGATTGCAATATTAGGGATTAGATTATATTTTCAGGGTTTAAGGTGTTAGGATTTAAATTTTTCAGGGTTTAGATTTTTTAAAATTTAATGTTTATTATGTTAATTAGGGTTTAGATTTTTTAGGGTTTAATATTTAGGAGATTAGGGTTAAGATATTTTTTGCATTAAGTGTTTAGAGTGTTAGGGTTTAGGGTTTAAATTTGTTGAGGGAATTAGGGTTTCAATTTGTTGAGTTGTATATTTTATGATATTAGGATTTAGATTTGTTGGGTTATAGATTTCATAATGTTAGGATTTAGACTTTTTCAAATTTAGTGTTTATATTTTCAAGGTTTAAGGTTTACACTTTAATATTTAAAGGTTTAGGTATTTAATAATTTAAAAATAAAAATTGCAGGACCAAAAAGTGAAATTTAAAATTTTAGATTTAAGAAGCAATAATAATAATAATAATAAACTATATTTACCAATCGGCTTGGAGACGGATCGGTCCCTATAGCATTAGCCATGAAAAATGATAAGCATATGGAATTTAAAACGCCCTTTAAAACGGAGCCAGGCCTAGCTGTAGTGTGAGTGTAGCCGAACTCCTGGTCCCTGATCAGATTTAAAGTAATAAGTTTATCCTGCTTTGTAATATTAATTAATCTCCATTTACCCCCCCTAACATTTCCTTTCTTAAAAAAATATTTATCAACTGAATTTTTAAAAAATTATTTTAAAATATTTTAAAACTAAATTATTTAATAGAATTTTTTAATTAAAAATAGTAAAATATCTTAATTTTTAAAATTTAATTTTTTATCATAATAATTTATTAAAATAATATAATTTTAAATATTTTTCTTTTTCATTTTTTTCTATTGTGCCATTGATAACACTAATCGCTTATTTTTAAGCTGAACACCAAACTCGTGTCCAGCCGTTCAAAAAAAAAAAGAAAAAACCTAAAACTCAATGTCTTGGGTTATGAATAGTTATGGGCTCAAGACTTGATTTGCTTATTGTTGGTTGTAGGATTTCATCTGTGCACACTTGCTTTAGAAATGGGCTAAGAGGAACCCATCTTTACATTTTTGTGTTTGTTTTGGAACTTTGAAACCCATCTTTAAATATTCACTTATCTTGGACGTCTGTGTGGAACACTCAAACCTGAGGAACATGCTAAATATTCTCTGAAAGACTGGATATGTTATGCAATATGCACCGTTTGTTTTCCAAACTTCGAGATTCCAAGAAAAAGGGGCACCATGTCCAACTCAATATCCAACTTGACAAGTGTCCTTCCACCTGTCGCTATAACCATGCATGCACTACCTAATTGGTTAACACGTATACTGCCTCTATGCTCTCAGCTTCCCTATAAGTGGCTTCCCTGCACAGCTACATTGGACTTAAGCAGAAGTGCAGAAGCTGGTTGAAGCAGAGGTTGTAAGAAAGGAAAAGAAAGGAAAGGAAAGGGGAAGAGTTAAGGGAGAAGATATGGCTGTTGGAAGGAACATGGCAGCTCCATTGCTGTTTCTCAACTTGGTCATGTATGCAATTTTGCTGGGTTTTTCTAGTTGGTGCATTAACAGGTTTATCGATGGCCAAACCAATCACCCCAGTAAGCTTCCTGTGTCTTTTTCTCTCTTAGGCATTCTATCAAACACCCAGTTTATAAGCACTATAGACCAGAGTTTTATATGTGGGTTGGACTTGGGTTTAAAGGAAGGAAATGTTTCAGGTTTTGGAGGAAATGGAGCAACAAGTTTCTTCCTCACCTTTGCAATCTTGGCTGCTGTTGTGGGGATAGTGTCCAAGTTTGCAGGAGGAAATCATATCAGGGCATGGAGAAATGATAGTCTGGCTGCAGCAGGGGCATCCTCATTGATAGCTTGGGCCTTAACTGCCCTTGCTTTTGGGTAATCATTTCTTTCCCCACATATAAAATCATCTTTTCAAGGGATAGAATAAGCTAAATACTCTGTTTCTACTGCTCAGGTTTGCTTGCAAGCAAATAAACATAGGTGGATGGAGAGGATGGAGGCTAAGAATTCTAGAAGCATTCATTATAATCCTCACCTTCACCGAGCTCTTGTATCTCTCCTTGATTCATGCTGGGATATTTAGCAGTAGATACGGCCCCGGCTACAGGGATACCGACTATGGAATGCATGGAGCAGGAGTTGATCCAGCGCAAAAGGGCAGTGCTGTGCCACCTATGGCTAGGGTTTGAAGACTGATAGGACAGTGGGAACGTGACTTATGCTTTCATTTTGGTTTCTTGATTTGGGGTGTCCCTCCTCTCTTGCATTTTCAGTCTCACTCGTGGGTTTGTGTAAGTAGAGGTGGTGGTCTTTTTATGTATTTTGCATGATGTTTTTGTTGAAGAAGGATTTGCACTTTTGCAGCATCTTGCGTGTAATACCTGAATATGCAATGATTCTAGCTTTCTCCAATGTTGGATCTTCCGCGGTTTATGATTTTTTTTTTTCAATGGTTGGGGATTCAGCTCAGGGATTAATTCTTCAACAGAAAAGAAAATGAGATACCAAATCACCAAGTAATACCCCGTTTTAGTTCATCCAAAAAATGCCACCCTTTTCTATCATTTGGACATTTAGGAAGTGTAAAGAAATCAAAGAAAATCTTGGAATCAGATTACAAAAATCTGTATGTCTAATGATCATACTCCAAACTTCTGCAATATTTTCCTCTTACAAATCTTGAGCATTATAAGCAGATGATGAACGTGATGAATTACTAGATCCTATAACTTTAGAAGAGCACAAATGGTCATAAAACGTCAGGAACAATCATTTTCCAACATAAGACTTGGTTCTTGAGCAACATTGAGTTAAGTTGGTTGAAGAAAAAGAGAGAAGTCATAAAAGACTCCTCTGCTTGTGCATTCTTCGTGCTTCCATATGATTAAAAGCCATTTCTATCCAACCATGAAAAATGTCTTATCAAAGATTGAGGCCAAGAAATGGCTAAAAAAAGAAAGATTGAGGCTAAGGGAAGCACCTTAGGCCGCGTCTTCATTGACAAAACCTTCCTTGCGACCTTCAAACCCGGGTCGCAGTAGCTTCTTTTCCCTCTTTGCAATCCGACGCATCTTCTTTTGGTTGATCTTTTCAGCAATATTATCGGATCTCTTTTGCTGTTTCTCTGCTTTCAGTTTCTGTGTTGTTTCAACTCTCTCCTTCCACTTCTCGGTATTCTTCTGCTGCCTCTTCTTTTCCTTCTTAATGCTTTGCTTCAACAGCTTTGGATCATCATGAACCTTAACTCCTTGAGCTCTATGCAATGCAGCCTTCCACATATGCTTGTTTGCAACCTCTGGATCTTTCTTTGCTTCTTCTAACGTCATTGCATTTTCAAGCTGCTTAACCTTTGAAAATTTCCTCTTCTTCTTCCCTTGCTTCTCTTCATTCCCAAGTTTAATGTGACTAAAAGTGAGTCTTTTCACTGCATCCTCAGCATCCTTCTGGACCTTCTCCATCTTACCAGTTGAATCACTAGCTGATGTTTTCTCCTCTGGTCCAGAATCCCTCTTGCGTTTCTTTTGCAGATTACCCTTCTTCTCATTCTTTTCGTTTTTCTTATTTGCTTTATCTGAACCTCCAGTATTTGTATTTCTACCTGCTCGGAGCTCTTCAATTCTGCGATGAAGTCGTTGCCGGAGCTCTTCATATGTCACTGACCTTTTTTCATCTTCTAGATCAGGCACAATAGGTTTAACTTCTATTTCCTCGTCCTCACTCTCTACGTGTGATTTTTCCTTCTCCAAGCTTTGCTTCAACAAATCAAGAGTTGTTGTCAAAGATTTCCCTGGGTCCAATCTATCTCTTCGAGCTTTCTTGATATTCTCTCTCGACTCCTTCTTTGCCAAAGCCTTTTCAGCCTTGCTAAGGCCTTGAAACCATGGTCTCTCTTTCTCATCAAGAGGTAGATAGAACTTTGCAGGGATAAGCTCAATCAACTTGTCAAAGAACAAGGAATTTTTATGAATGAGAGACTTCAGATCAAGAGTAGGATTGGCATCATTGAAAGGCTTTAACTTTCTCCTCCCCATCTGCACAAGAAGATCAAGAATTACACAAGTACAATAAAAAATGTATGAGACAGTAAAGAAGATACACCAAATCAAGATCTAGGATTAAAAAAAAAAGAAAAGCCAAAGAGGGAAACAAAAAAGACAAGGAAAGATTAAAAAGCTACTTTTCATTGGAAGGAACTTTGCAGGAGTAAAAGGTATTATAATCTTTGTCCTTGATTTTGTGAAAGAGAAAAGGTCTAAACTTATACCATCCAATCCAGTAAATTCGCTTTCCTGGAATCATCCAAACCCTTTCCCTGCCCCTCTAGATCAATTTAATCCATTCCATCACTCTGAATTCCGCATCCATGCGGATGATCTCTAGATCAATATAATCCATTCTAACACTTCCACATTCATGTGGATGAAAATGAAAACTAACTTGTTTTGCTTCAATTAATCGGTCTACTCACTTTCACAAGTAATGTAATACAAAATAGTTCCTTGAAAATCAAGCACAAACTGTATTAAGAAAATACCTGAGCTACAATGATGAAAACAAAAACAAATTTATATATTTAAGTAAACTTAATCCTACCCACGCATTTTCACCGATTTATACATAATTTGCAGGTAGAAAAAAATCCTAACAGTATCGATTAAGAATTCGATACCGATTTCCACCCAATACCTGACTATATTTCGATTGATTTTGACCAAAGTAATGATCTTTCATAAAAAAGTTTCATTCTTTTGAATTCGCAGAGAGTAAAAATAAAGAAGGAAATACCGGAGCTGATGCGGTGGCAGAGAGGACTTCCTCTGCGTTTCAAGGCGGCAAACCCTAACAATTGAACAAGACGAACGCCCGCCGTTGCCGACTGCCGCGCCTTTTGATTCAGTATATTTGGGCTTTATTTCTCTGGGCCGCTTTACAGAGGCTTTGTTTAACTTTATTTGGGTCAAATTTAGGACGTTTTCAACCCACCACTCGCACCAGGCCTTATTGGCCCATTTCTATGCTCCTCTACCCATGGGCTGAATGCAAGACCCGTTTATTTTAGTATTGTCGATTTGACCAATGGAAGGGGTCAAATGAGGGAAAAATGATCTAGAATGCAATCAATTACCACCCCATATTGTGTTAAAATTTTCTTTTTCCACTTCTAACATTGTGGAGTGTTTGCTTACCAAAAGCTTAGAAGTGGTGAAAATGAAAGGCTATCTTCTACCACTTTTAAGGTTTCATTGCATAGGGTAGGCCTTGATGGCAATTAGCATCCATTAGTCTCATCCAATTAAGTTCTATCCATGGAAAAGATTAATATTCCAAATTTTGTCAATGTGTTCAAATTGATTTAGATCTATAGATGGGTGTAGATAAGATTTTTCTTCAATAACTAATGACGAAATATATCTATTTACTATCTATTATTGTATTATTACTTGTTAAAGTTTGTTGACCATGATAGTATGATATGGTAATAGTTTTTATAGTTTTGTTTATTTAATAAGACATGTTAATTAGTACGTATCTACTCATTTGAAACTATTTAATTTTTATCAACAAATTGCCAATGATCGATCATTGTTGTTCTTGGTATTAACAAAACAAGGAATTAATTCATAAACTAGTGGATTATGCTGCAATTTGATGGGAATCTTTGCCTACCCAAATCTTGTGTGGGGAGGATAAACACACAAACCCAAAGACAGTTGACTGATTGACCGAAGATACTCGTGGGGATCAAACAGTTTTGCTGAGGAAAGGTCAAAGGAAAGGAAAAAGTGCTTCGGCTTTGAATCAAACAATTTTGGATGAGGGATTACTTAGGATTTAGAAAACAAAAAGGGCATTTAATTATTGTATTTAAATAGGAATTTTAGACCTTTCTGTTCCAAAAAGTCGGTAGTGCAAAACAGCCTAAGCATGTGTTTTGTGGGGAACAGGTTTGGTTCTTGTTTTTTGTCATCAAAGAGTCTAGTGCTGATGAAAGCATCTAGAAATTTTGAATTAGCAGGATGATGCTCAATTATTATTTTTTTTCCCCACTAAACTAGATGAATGACATTAAACCAAATTTGCAGACTTTAACAAGAGTTAGTTTGATTTTTTTGTATATTTCATTGTTATGAAAAAGTTATCATGGAGTTGGTTTGCTGTTCACGAGTACATTTGCTCTCAGTTTTTTTAATGGAGTTCAAATTAAAACCCAAATTATTGGTTTTTTTTTTTTTATTATTTTAAGTGATACAATAGAAAACAATTATTTTTTTATCTTTTAATATATTATACTTAAATGCTACATAATTTAAATTTAAAATTTCTTATTTTTATTAAAATAAAATTATTATTGAGTTATTTGACTAATTAACCACATAAATTATAATGATCTCTAGTAATAATTAATAAAAGAAGATTTTGGAACATGTAACATGATTTTGTCATAATGTTTTTGATTGAATTTGGAGATAGGATTATGAATCATAAATCCAAAGATTGAAATTCCCTCAAAAAGTTTTGAAAACGAAATGCAAAAACATGTTTTTTATGCATCAAAGTTAGGTCCTAATTAATGCCAAGAAAATGATTCTCCTCGCCCAATAAAGGACCATTGGGCAAGTTCCACGGGTGGATGAGACCCTTTTGAAACTAAAGGGCAGGTATGGTCAAACGAATATTCAGATTCAATTTTGACTCATTTTCCCAACGGTTCAATTAATTCATCACATTAAAATGTAGTAATTAAAAATTTTCCATGGATATTAATCAATTCATTTTCTTTTTACCTTCCTTGATAGTTATGGTCAAAT